GTTGCCACTGGTATTTCTCTTTTTCTGTCAGGAAGGAAGTCTACTTACGGATTTGATGCCATCATACTAAATCTGTAACACATTTTCTTTATGAAAATTCTCTTATGAGAAAATTAAGCTAGAAATCTATAACAGAAAGAAAACTAGATACTCTGGTCTGGACAAGATGAAATATATCTGTTTCTCCCTACTCCTCCCCACCAAGTACAATAGTAAACCCTGAAAATAATGAAGAGAACTCTGAAAGGTGGGAAGAGGAAGGTAAACTGGTTAGAAACCTAAGGGCTGGAGAGATAATATAGAGTCACGGTGTCTTGCAATTTCCCATTACCCAAAAGAAAAAGGAGTGCTCAGTTTTAGTGTTTCTGAAACCTAGCTCAGCAACAGAAGGCAGCCCAAGTAGGAAGGTCCCCAGATTGAAAGGGAGTTCTTCTGATGGCCACAGCAGAGAAGCCCTTGGCATTTCACATGGGATAAATCGGGAGCTCCACTGATAATAGGTGGGCAGGGAAAGCACTCTCCTTTCTGGCTGCCTGTGAGACTCCCCTCTCCCAAGAGACTTCAGAAAGCAATACTGCGGTAGAGGCCCTACAAGTCCATGCTCCCAGCACAGGAAGCCTCTTCATCTCTTTAAGCCCAAGGCTCCTCTTTCACATGACAGACACCCCACTAGCAAAACAGCATGGGCAAGGAGATCCTTTCGCAAGTGGCCAACCGGAAAACCCTCTCTTTCCCCGCAAAAGCAAGGGAGATTCTTCCAAAAGGCAGTTGGGAAACTCCCTTCCCCTACTGGGTGGTGCCAGGTGGCTAAATGTCTTCCCTTCCCTCAGGCAGCACCAGCAGGAAGCAGTGGGAAAATGTGATAAACGAAGCAAACCAAAATAACACCACACAGGCCTTGGAAATTATGTTGTCATTGGAATCACAGCTGACAAAAGTAGAACAGACCTGCGGGCTAATCCTAAACAGGGTCCCTGGCTATTAAAATAAGATATTTAAAGAGAATCTAGAGTGTTAGAATAGTCCAACTTTCCCGAATATAACTGATATTATCCATCATACTAAGAAACTGAAAAACTACAGCTTGAATGAGGAAAGGCAATCAGCCAACCCTGGACATTGAAATGAATCAGATGTTGGAATTATCTGAAAAGCACCCATTCTAAAAATGCTTCAACAATCAATTGTAGATTTTCTTGAAACAAATGAACTAATAAAACATTTCAGTAAAACAATGGAAATTATTTAAGATAATCAAATAAAAACTGAAGAATTGAGAAATATAATAACAAAAATTTTTTAAATGTGCTGAATGAGCTCAGTGGAGATGATAGTAGAATCAATGAAGATACTTCAAAAGAATTCACTCAATCTGAAGAACAGAAATAAAATAGATTAAAAACAATAAAAGAGGAATGGACAGAGACTCAGAGACCTGTGGGACAGAAATAAAAGAGACAAATTTCACATCATTGAAATTCCAGAAAGAAAGAAGAAATAAATATACAATAAAAGAGTATTTGAAGAAATAATGGCTGAAAAGCTGCCAAATGTAGCAGATTCAAGAAGGTGATCCAACTCAAAATTTGCTAAACACAAAGAAATTCATGCCAAGACACATCATAATTAAACTTTGGAAAAAGAAAGGAAAGAAAATTAAAAGTTGCCAGGAAAAAACAATACATGACCTAAAGGGGACCACCAATTTGAATAACAGTGGGATTCTCATCTGGAATAGTGGAGGCAGAAGGAAGTGACATGACATTTTTCAAGCATAGAAATAAAAGGACTGTCAACTAGTAATTCTATATCCAGAGAAACTATACTTCAGAAAGAAAGGGAAATAAAAATATTCTCAGTCAAAGAAAAATCCAGAAGAAATTGTTGTCAACAGACCTACCTGTAAAAAATGGCTAGAGTTCTTTAATTAGAAATAAATAATAAAGAAAGGAATGTTGGAGCATCAGAAAGGTAGAACAAAAGAGCAGAAATATAGGTACATACAATAGACTGTCCTCGTGAGTTTTATCAATTATATTGGATGATTGGAATAAAAGCTATGACACTATCTAATACTCAAGATAATAATATTTAAAAGTGGGGGAAAGTAAAGTGATTTAATAAAAGTAAGATTTTAATGCTTCATTTAAAGTGATGAAATATTGATACCAGTAGACTATGGTAAGACATATTAGTATATTGCAATATCCTGAACTAAGAAAGCTATAAAAAGAGATGCACATAAAAGCACTATGAGTAAATCAGGATGGAATCATGAAAAAAAATTCAAGTAACCCATCAGAAGACGAGAAAAGAGAAACAGAAAAAAGAAATAACAAAATGGTAGACTTAAGCTCTAACATATAAAGACTTTAAATGTAAATTGTCTTAATATCCAAATTAGAAAACAAAGATTTGTAAAGGGGAATAAAAAGCATGGCCTAACTATATGCTGTTTATAAGAAATTCACTTCAAATTCAACAGCTTATGTAGGTTGAAAGTAGAAGAATGGGAAAATATATACCCTGCAAATATTAACTAAAAAAAGGCAGAACTGGCTATATCAATATCAGATAGAGTAAACTCTAGAGCAAAGAGAATTACTAAAAATGAAGAAGGACATTATGATAAAATAATGATAAAAGAATTAATCCAGGAAAATGACATCCTACATCTACGTGTACCAAACAACAGAGCCTCAAAATACATGAAACAAATATTGATAGAAATGAAATAATAGACAGATTCACAATTATAATTAAAAACTGCAAAACCCTCTGTTTAGCAACTGAACTACTAGACAGAAAAGCAGTAAGTGTATTGATGACCTGAACACAGTCAGCCAGTAATATCTAATTGAGATACATAGAACTCTCTGCCCAATAGCAGCAGAATATACTGTTTTTTTTAAAAAAAAAAACTAAATATTCATGAAAAATTCACTAAGATAGATTATTCTCTGGCCCATAAAAAGCCCTCAACACATTTAAAAGAAGTCATTCAGAGATATTCTCTGATCATAATACAATCAACTAGAAATCAATAACAGAAAGAAAAAAAGGAAACTAAACATTTAAAAATTAAATAATCCATGAATCAAAGGAAAATCCTCAAAGGAAACTAAAAAAAAAAAAAAATACATGGAACTGAATGGAATAATTTTAAAGTATATTAAAATATATGAGACACAGCTAAAGCACTGCTGAAAGGAAAATTTAGAGCACTAAATCCTTACATCAGGAAAATAAAGATCTCAGGTCAATAATCTAAGTTTCTATCTGAAGGAATGAGAAAAGGATCCAAATAAACCACGGCAAGCTGAAGAAAGGAAATAAAGGTACGAGCAGAAATCAGTGACAATGAAAAAAAAACAAAGGAAATCAATGAAACAAAAAGCTGATTCTTTGAGAAAATCCAATAAAATTGATACACCTCTAACAGGGAAGAAGACATAAATCACCAATATTAGAAATAAAATAGGAATATCACTGCAGACCCTTGCAGCCACTAAAAGAATAATAAGAAAATATTATGAAAAACTTTACTCTCATAAATTCGATAACTTAAAAGAATAAACCACTTTCTCAAATACCACAAAATGTCAAAATGCAACAAATACGAAATATATAATCAGAATAGTCCTATAATTATTCAAGAATGATAACATCTTTGAAAAGAAAGGGTTCTGAGCAACTTGGGACAGGGCAGGGGCTAGGATCTGCTATCCAGGGAAAGAGTAAGAATAAGAACTTAAAAACTAAAATGAGAATAGAGATAAGAAAGCATGCATTGAAGTCTTTGCGTTCAGGTTTTTCTAACTGGGTCCTTTTGCACAAGACCATTGATCAATTTGTCACCGTTGTAATATTTTGTAAGTTTTTTTTTAAATTTTAAGATTTCCTTCAAAAGATCTGGCATATTAAACTTTTGATTTTAATTTAATGATACAAAGTATTTACAGTTGACACATTTGAATACTTAGGGAAATTTAAGTTGTTGATGTATTTGTAGTGTGAACTGAATACTTGGAGGGATGCTTATTTAATATTCAAAGATACACTTTGATATCTTTATACAGTGAATAAATTGGACATTATCAAAGTACAAATAATAAGGCTATTGTTTTCCTATGCATTAAAGCTTCTCAAATATTAAAGGATTTATCAATGAGGGGAAGATGAGTATTCATAATTCTAACCACTATCATTTCAATACCATTTCTTCAGCACTTCTTTTGTGTACGTAGTAACAAGGCAGCTAATTCCCTCAAAGGGCATGAGTGGTCAGTACTAGCAAGGTGGTCAGTACAACCCTGTCTGCATGCTGGCATCACCTGGGGGCTTTAACAAAATGTCAGAGTGAGCCTGTCTAGGATGAGACATGGACATCAGTATTTATAAAAACACTCTTAAGGAGTTTCTAAGGGGCATGAGGCTGTTAAAAACTACAGCGTGATGCCATTAACAGAGTTCTATGAGGCAAGCAGCAATTCATGAACCTGGAAGTGCTGATAAAAAGGTGGTTTCAGGTTGCACTGAGATGCAAAGGAAAAGGCTTTTTTTAACCGGCAAATGAAGGGATAAAAAAGGGAATATTTGATTGGTTACAGTTATAGAGCTGCCTGATTTGATTTATCCTATCGGAAAGTTCCTCATTACATAATTGTCAATTAGTTGAGAGTTCTAATTGATTAGCCTTACGCTTCAGTTTTCTTTTTTCTCTTTATCATAGAAATGGGGTTTGCTTTGTTGTCCAGGCTTGTATTGAACTCCTGACCTCAAGTGATCCTCCCGCCTCGGCCTTCCAAAACACTGGGATTACAGGCATGAGCCACAATGCTTGGCCTCAGTTTTCTTTAAAACTGGCCTTTACAAGAAGTAGCTCAAGTTAAGCTTTGCCTACGTTTGTGAATAAAGCGAGGTTATGGTCACTTAGAAGGCCTCACTTATAAGTGACCTCATAATTGACTTCAGCACAGCTGAGAACCATGGCCTCACAATGTGAGGAGGCAGGTGGGAAAGGAACCGAGGAAGATGACTAGAGAGCTGACGGTTACAGGAGGACGAGGTTTGGGTTAGGCTTTGAGGGAAAGTTTGATTTCACAAGCCGGGAAGCTGGAGCGTGGGAGGAGACCCCTGGACCGCACCCACAAGAATCACCTTCACAGCAGGTACCTGTCCTGGTGTTTGGAGGCAGCACGCTCCCTGGCATAGTCTCTCATAGGCACAAATATCCCTCCAGAGTCAGAAAAGTCCTGCTCAGCTCACTGGGCAGGGGCATCTACCTAGGTAGATGAGAAGGCCTTGGGGGTGAGCCAGAGTCCTTCTGTTAAAAGCAAACAGTGGGTACCCTCCAAGGATCTGCGTCTGGTGTCTGGTTTAGAGGGAGGCTGGCGGAGAACCCTGGGGGCCTGACCTTGTCTCTTGCTCATGTAGGATGGGCCAGCTGATGGTCTGCCACTGTTTGGAGGAGGCCTGGATGCAGGAAAAGGAATGCATGGGCATTTATGTGAAGCGCTTCCATTTTGGTAATACTCGTTGAAAACCTTTTTGTATCAGTCATTCTGATAAGTACTGGAAAGATGGTATTGACTAGAACAAAGCTCTGGACTTATAAAAACAAGCCACATAAGCAAATGGACACAATCCAATGTGGTCTGTGCACAGAGGAAGTAAAGATGAGATACGAAGAGCAACTAGCTGAGAGTGGCAGGATCGCGGAGCAGGCAAGAGCACGCACTTTGGAGCGAGACTGCCTGGAAGTGCGAGCTTGGCTAAGCCACTGTATTTCTTTGGGTCTTGTCAGCAGCAGTAAAATGGGAACTAATATGAAATAAAGTGATAGGATATAGTATATTTAGCTGAGGGTTTCTGCAAAGTATAGATGAGTTAATATGTGTAAATTACTTATAATAGTGACTAAAACAATTAATACCCAATGAATGTCATATACTTATTATTATTATTTACAACCTATCCAGGAAATCTAGGAAGACTCCCAAACGAGATATGGGAGTTGGATTGTGAAGAACAGTGGTGTTTCGGTGCTGTTTCTGAATGGTGCGGGCGATCCAGGCAGGGGAACAGCATGTGCCCAGGAGGCAACGCACAGCCTTCAGGGAAGCCCCTGTGGTTTGGTAGAACTGGAGCAGGGCAGGGCAAAGATGAGGCTAGGAGCAAGAGTGGAGGCCATGTGAGCCCCAAATATCTGAGACAGGTCTCAGGCCATTTAGAAAGTTTATTTCGCCAAGGTTAAGAACATGCCGACACAGCCTCAGGAGGTCCTGATGACATATGCAACTTGCTTTTATACATTTTAGGGAGACATGATACATTGGTCAGTACACACAAGATTTACATTGGTTCCATCTGGAAAGGCAGGACTTCCAGGTTGTGGGTAGATTTAATATATTCGGATTGGTAATTGGTAGAAAGAGTCATCATCAATAGAAAGGAAATATCTGGGTGATGCAAGAGGTTGTGAAGATGTGGATTTTATGCAGATGAAGCCCCCAAGTGGCAGGCTTTAGAGAGAAGACAGTAAATGTTTCTTATCAGGCTGAAGACCTGTACTGATGTTAATTCTGGGGGCTTACAATGAGGCATGTCCAACCCCCACTTCCGGTCATGGCCTCAACCAGTCTTTCAGGTTACATTTTTCCTTCCTCTGTGAAGGAGGAAGTACATTCATTCAGATGGTTGCCAGGGGCGGGTCTTTGAATTTTACTTTTGGTTTAGAGCCCCAAGCAGATGCCAGGGAGTATGGCCATGGCCCCGCTGGCCGCAGTCTGCAGATCCCCACTGAGTTCACACATGTATTCTCAGGACATGCGTATTCTATGGACATTTAGTAACTCTGTGGCTTTATGTTCACAATTTTTAAACAGGATCTTTTGTAATAATGGCTTGCATTTGAAGGACATTTTATTTAAATAAGATTTTAGTTTTATAAGTCAGGGTCCTGACTAGGGTGCCTCCAACTTGGGTCCTTGGTCACCCAGGAACCTTGAATCAAAATTCTTCCAGAGCCTAAATATATTCCCACATGTCTAGGGAACAGCATGGGCTGCAGGATGTATGCCTCCATTCTCATGATAATACACACACAAGCGTTAGAAACACGGTGGAGGCACCAGGTAGCCTGTGGGCAGGGTAGGGCACGCCTCACACATGAGGTGAGAGACACAGAGAGTCTGGGGAGACTGGAGGGTGGCTAGGGAAGTAGCAGCACGCACCTGTTGTTGCTGGCCTGGTGATTCACCCAGTGGCATGAAGACACAGCTGGGCCACCTTCTCTGCCTCCTGGCCCAGGTGTGTGTGTTTAATCCCATGAGGGAGAGCCCCTGCTTCTGCAGGACACCCTGGTCACCATGGTAAGAGGCAACAAGAATGCACACAGTCTCCACCATCCCTCCTGCTCGCAGGTTCCAGCTTGCTCAGGCCCTTCCTTTTCTGACGACCTACCTCGTAGACTTCAAGCTTCAGCGTCAGCTGGGGGGACCGTAACCTTGCAGAGACCGCTTAACAAAACCACACCCAGGACAGTGTTAGCTCAACACCTGACAACAAATCATGGATCTCTTACTGGGTCTGCTTCTCTGGGTGAACCCCAATTCATGCACTCAGATTACACTGAAATTGAGTGTCTTTTCAACGGTCCTAGCGGGATCCAACTTGAGCTCTGGGTGTCATAAGGAAGAAGCCTGTGCTTCCTCCCTCCACATCAGCCCCCCAGATATCGTGAGACAGCAGTGCCTACCACTGTGTTTGTTCATCTCCATGTCAGAAACCCCTGATACCTTCAGGTGACCTGGAGAGGAGTTTTGAGCCCTTGCCATAGCAGATGCTCTGGTGTCCAGTGCTAGCATCACAGCAGAACACCTGGAAGTGAGCTTCAGGGTCTTGGTGAGGTCTGCTTTCTGAGGACCTCATCACAGACCCTTCTGCAGGGCTCAGTCAGTGTCAGGGCCTCCTAGTTCCTGCCTGTTTCTGCCTCCTTCCCTCCTTCCCTACCTCCCTCCCTCCCTCCTTCTCTTCCTCCCTCTCTCTCTCTCTCTCTCTCTTTCTTTCCTTCCTTCCTTTCTTTTCATTCTTTCCTTCATTCTTTCTTCTTTCGTTCTTTCCTTCTTTCTCCTTCCTTCCTTCTGTTTCTTCTTTCTTTCTCTCCTTCCTTCCTTCCTTCTTTCTTTCTTTCTCCTGACTGCAGGAGAGAGAGTGCAGCCACAGGAGAAACCTAACCCACCCTGGATTTGTTTGGTTTTCTTCCCAGAGACTCAACACCAAGCCAGGCTGGAGCTCCCCTTTCTTATGATTGCCCGTCAGACATCTCAGGCTTGGCAGGCCGTCTGCTAGTCTCAGCACTGCAGCTTCCACAGAATTCAGCTGCATGAGGTTGCCAAGGCCTGGAAGAGACACTGCTTTACTTAGCAGCCCCGCTGCCCATGCCCCTCATACTCAAGGTGGACACGGAGTGGAGTGGAGCCACATTAGCTGGCTGAGGTTTTTCACCTGATTCTCTGTAGTTAACTGGCTTCTGTGGTCACTGAACATTCCAGGACCCTTACCCTCTGGTCCCATGGTTCAGGGCTCTGGTGGAGGTAAAGAGAGGACTAGATGTGACCCTCTTTTTGGTCTGTCTCCTCACTGCTATTGTCCAAGACCTGAGGTTCTGTTAAGTGGTCTTGCTTATCTTCCCAGGGAAGTGGTTCAGCCCCCAGTTCAGGCCTTTTCATCATACTAAGGAGTCAGTGAGACTAATTCCCTTGTTTCTGTATTTCCACAGAAGCTAACTAACCTCCAAAACTCTGGGCAGCAAGAGCAGAATGCCAGCAGACTCCACCTCACCCTTGGTCCGCCCTGCCTCCTTAGCTGTAGGGTTTCTGGACACGTATACACACCATTTACACTTGATAAGCATCCTCCCACCCATTAGTACTATTTTATTGATTCTCATAGCTTGGAACAAAGACCTGTTTCAAGACAGACAATCCCAAGGAAACTTAGACATTTTGGGGAGTTCAGAAGAGAAAGATTCAGGGGAGAGTTGAAGGCTTAGGGGTTGAATCATGGATGTTTGGTATTGCTACAGATCTTAAGTCAAGCACTCCTGGGAGCTTCATTCAGGCTGATGGTGGCATCTATGAGAGCAAATGTCTGTTTCTGCACAATTTCTGTAGGGATAGTTGCAGTCGGGTCTACAGGATTTGCTTGAAAATTGCTATGAGCTTCCAAGACCTGGATGAGTCTGACAGCCTGGGCCCCAAAAGGAAATAGCTCCTCTCTAATTTCCCTGGGACACCTGGGAGCAAGCACAGGAGCCCACAGAGCTATGGAGAGTGTCAATTCAAGCACCTCCTGGGACCTCTTGCAGACACGAAGTGCTCTGCCCCTCCCCGTTAACTGTGGTTTCAGGTGGTCTCCGAGATTTACAAGATGTGAGATAAAAAGCAAAGAAAGCAATTCCTCTGACTCCTTCGGCTGAAGCCACACATTCTCCTGGGGTGAGATCCTCATGGAAGGCTGGGGATCTGGGACATGGGATACTGCAAAGTCAGCACCCACTAACACGGATTCTAGCTCCTCCTGGAATCTGCCCCATTCCCCGTCGGACCAGGGAATCAGGGAGGAGAACAGGCAGGATACTACTTCTCCTCTTGGCCCCACCAGGCCTCCGGGTTCCAGCATACAGCAGGGTACTAGCCCTGATTCTCCTTCCTTCCCATCATCTCCCCCATCCCTTTCCCTCAAATCCCCAGCCTGGGCCCCTCTGGAAGAGGACGAAGTATATCCGAAGCCTGCAGCACCCCCAGGCCCCTAGCCACACTTGGTTTGTTCCCTCATTTATCCAGAGAAATATGTTTTATTCAACTTGTTCTTTCCACCACTCCCACCCCCTACTTGTCCCCACCAGCCAGTGACTCTTCGTTTATGAGGGCACAGTTTGGGGGAAAATCTAGGTTTGAATTCAAGTTCTTTAATTTTCTAAGTAGGTGCCTGTGGTAAGTAAATGATACCTTTGTGCCTTAATTAGATCATGAGAATCAGAGCTGTGATGACGATGGAGGTACCTGGAAGAGAGCAGGCACACTGGAGGCATGCTGTACTTATAAGACCCCCCACCTTCCATGTCTGTCCTGCTCGTTCAAGCACAATTGCTCAATGACTGTCCCCTCATGATCCTGACCAGGAACACTGCTATCCTGGAGGCAGGGGAAAGCTGGGACTCAGTGAGCCCAAGCTGCCTGCTCACAGCCTCTTACATGTCTAGGACCCAAGCCCCACTGAAGGGCCCTTCCCAGGAGGCCATCAAAACAAAGACGACAGCACCTAAAGCAACGCTCCCATGAGCTGCTGGAGTTCCGAACACGGCTTACCATGTTTCATAGGAAAGTTTCTTCTGTAATGCAAGTTTGAGTAACACAACAGCCTCTCCCACCTCACACGGCTGCAGTTATGTTAATAACTCAGTGATCTTTTAAACTATTGGGTTGACCCACTGCTATTCCTGCCCAAACAAAAGAGAGAAAGAGAGAGAAAAAGAAAATACACATGCAATTATTACCCAAACTCAGGAGAAAGGCGGCAACTGCGTTTCTCTCTGAGTTAGCAGAATTTCTGGGTCATGATTTTTGTGGTCAGAGGGCAGACAGGGCCTCTGCAGGGCTGGTCAAGCACTTTTCTGTGCCCTTGACTTCAATGAGAGAGAAAAATGCAGCAAGGACCAAGAAGAGGTATGGTCAGATGCAGACGCTCGACACTGGGATGGCGTTTACAGCTGAAAAGGCCCAGCGCAAGAAAATGAGGCGTGGGGTCCAGCATGTGTAGCTGGGAGGAAGTGACAGCCCCCCTCAGGCCCTCTGTAAAAGGAGTCCCTGTGGTCCTGGCACAGTCTGAAAGCAAGTGTCTGTGCCTTTCTTTCCTGTGTCTCACCCAGGAGCATTCCCACTGTGGAGGGTAGGGCCAGGTACTACACTGGCCTATGACTGTTCTTCCTGCTTCCCATCCTCTAGTGAGACCTATGGGTCTCCAGCCAGCATAAGAATGGAAAGTAAATTACAGAGGGGCTGACACCTAGCAGGTGCTTGAGAAATGTTTGTGATGATAGCAACTCATGCGTGGATTTGGTTTGAGCACATGCCAGGCTCTGCTCCTGATGCCCTATGTACATTAATTTGGTTCACCTCACCGTGTTCCTATGAAGCAGATAGGGTGGTTATCTCCATTTTACAGAAGAGGCAACTGAGGCCCAGAGGCATAAATAGGCTTGAACACAAATGTCGGCTTCCAGTGGCCACGTACTGGCCGTCAGGTGGCTTGGCCTCTCAGGCTCTGCAAGCCCTTCCTCCCCTGGAGCCTGGCGTCAGAGTAGAGGGAGCCGCAGTCTGGCAGATGTGGGAAAAGGCCTTTCAGGCAGGATGCCATGAGCTGTGGAGGGGTTTGGAGGTGCAAGGATGTGGCGCATTTTAAACCTGACATATTTCATGTTTGAAATTCTCCCCTGACGCTCTCCAGATGCAGGAAGCCGTTGAAGTGCACATGATTCAAAAGCCATCTCAGGTGAATAATGTGATAATAAAACAGAAGGGAGTGAGGGTTAAGTGCTGGGGGACATTTCACCCGCAGTGCGAGAGCCAAGCTGCACATGAGCTTCCCTCACCAGGAAGTCAGGAGGCCCTGCTGAGGTTAGCTGCTGGCCATCTGCACTTGCTAAACAGTTTTTTCTTTGCGGTGTCAACACCTGAAAGACAGGGCAGGCAAAGAAGACGGACTTCACACAGAACAGGAGAGCCGTGCACTCTGACAGTGCCTTGGAAGAGGGCATATTTGCTAAACAATGCCCCACAAATAATAATTCCATTTTCAATTCCCAACCTATGAAACCCCAAATTGCTCTGGTGGTCTGTGCACGGTATCCCCAGCCACTCGACCTGCTTCACCAAGCATGTCTGAGGGCCAAAGGGCCACCCTCAGCTGCCAGAATTAAGCCAATAAGTGACCAAGCCACTGCTCAGCAGGTTCAGGGTTCTGCACCTGTGTCTTCAGTGTCAGGAGCAAGAAGGACTTGTTTTCCTGGGGGTCCTCCATGCATCCTCAGGCACATGCCATGAAGCAGGAACTCCCGAGTCATTGCTACCCAGACTCAACTGAGGCCACAAACCTTGCTGAGCCTCAGTTTTCTCATTTGCCAAGTGAGACAGTGATGGCTCCCTGAAGGGCTGCTCTGGGAGAATGGACTGGCAGGAGGCGGGAGGCCAGGTGGTTGGTGCCTTGTAGACGGAGGTAGTAGGCAAGGAGGGAAGCAAGAGATGGCAGAGATTCTGTCATCAGGGTTTAGGAGCTTTTATTGCTGATGGGAAATGGGCGCAGGTTGAAAAGCAGCCCATCTAAGGTCCACAGAGGCACCAGTATCCATGAGCAGGTGCAGAGGTCGGAGACCAGGGGTTTCCCTGGCATCTTGCTCTACTGTGTCTTGTGCCCAACCCATTCCAGACTCACACTTTCACCACCCCCTAACCCTCCAAGCCCACTCACCTCACTTTGTGTTCAACACCCTCATCTTGCCCAAATCCACTCTCTGTCTTGGGCCCACATCCCTTCCCAGGCAGCAGCCACACTTGCATCTGAGGGGCCTGTCCACTGCTCAACCCTGTCTGGGTTCATTCTTGCTTGTGGGATGGAGAAAATCCCTCCACTTTGCCAGAGTCCAGGTGTGGACAGCCCTGCCCTCCTCTCCTGCCTCCTCCCCACCCAGTCCCTCTGCCTATCAAGCCTCCACCCCACCACATCCTCACCCCACACTCCCGCCCACCCCAGGGCCTTCCTGCATGCGCTGTGTGCCTCAGTTCCTCTCCCCTCTCCTCTGCCCATGCTTCCTCTCTCCTTCAGGTATTTAATCTTCCTGACGAGAAAATAGCTCTGATATGGTTTGGATTTGTGTCCCCGACCCAAATCTCATGTCTGATTATAATCCCCAGTGTTGGAGGTGGGGCCTGGTGGAAGGCAATTGGATCACAGGGGGTGGATCCTTCACAGATGGTTTAGCACCATCCACTTGGCTGTTCTCCTACTAGAGTTCTCATAGGATCTGGTTGTTTCAAAGCATGTGGCATCTCCCACCTGTTGCTCACTCCTGCTTCTGCCGTGTGAGCTACCTCCTTCTTTTCTGCCTTCCATTGTGACTGTAAGTTTCCTGAGGCCTCCCCAGAAGCAGAAGCCACTGTGCTTCCTGTAAGCCAGCAGAACCAGGAGCAAATTAAACTTCTTTTCTTTATAAATTACCCAGTCTCGGGTATTTCTTTATAGCAGTGCAATGATGAACTTATACAAGCTCCAGCACGTGCGGATGTGTGTGCACCTCACAGGCCACTCTTTCAGGGCCTTCGCCACAGCAGCACTTTTTTATTTTGGGAAGGCCTTTCCCTGTATTCACATCTGCCTCCTTCCCCAACCAGAAGAGGCAGGAGCCCCTGTAGCCCAGGGAGGGGCTGAGTCTGGATAGCAAGCCCATGGTGGCTTACTTAGCACTGAGATTCTGTGTCTCTGTCACCCCAGAAGAGCAGCTTTAGTGTATTAGGCCAATCATGTGAAGTAGAGGGGCAAAGAGTCCACGCCTCTTCGTTCTTCATTCTGGTTACGTTCTGGGTCCACAGCATCCAGAGAAGGCCTGAGGCTCCCTGATTTGCTTCAGGAGCAGAAATAGGGGCAGAAGGCTGCTAAGCGAGGCCTTTTGCATAAGCGGTCTGGTAAGCAGTGGATGCCCTCGGGATCCCAGTGGGCTGGGATTACGCACACTCTTAGATACGCAGACGGAGCACATGTGGTGGTGACAGTGGGAGTTACACCCACTGAATTATGCCCCATCTCCTCCCTGAAGCAGGGCCTGAATCACAACCTAGTGCTCAGGTCTCAAAACCAAAGTGCCAGGATGGGCCAGAACTACTTTTGGCTCCTTCAGCTCCATTTGTCTGAGCCAGCAGGGAAGACCTACATTTCCACAGCCATCTCTGTTGGGAGATCAGGGGCAGCTCAGACACATCCCTGAAGAGGGTGTTCGAGGATCAGGCTCTGTCTTAAAGCATGAAGGGCTCTTCAGGTGGGCCTAGAGGAGTGCTGGGGGGCAGGGGTGTAGGTAAAAGTGTGGAAGCCTGGGGACAGGTGTGGCATGTTCAGGATGCAGTCGTTGGTCGTCTTCATAGGAAGTGCTGGGAGCTCAGGCAACAGGACAGAGTGTGAGCCACTAAGGGACTTAGAGCTCACCCAACAGCAGGGCCTGCAGTGGTCACAGATAGTAATAGGACCCCCCATGACTTGTTCCATCCATTGGCCTCAGGCTCTGGAGGACAGCAACAGGCAGACGGCGGTCATCCTCATGGTGAAGGAAGGGTCTTCAGTGTCGGGGACTGGCTTCTATCCTTTTCAGAAAACACCAGAGACCCACAGACTAGCTGGGTCCTGAATGCTTCAGTAATCCTCAGATGCCCCCAGCTGGGCTCTTCTTCCTTCTGTGTTGCCACCGTCCAGGCATAGGAGTCTCCCTGAGCAGGCCCCTCATTCACTGTTATATGTACTCGTCAGGCACACACTGGTACTAAGCACTGGGCACTCTCTCAGGGAGAATGAAATTTAGTCCTCGTCCTAAGGAACCCACATGGGGCTGGGCCGAAAAAATCTAACAACACACTGTGTTCAGAGGAGGGAAGAATGGAAGAAAGTGCCTTTAGAGAAAAAGGAGCGAGGATTTACTATGAGCAAGTCAGCGAAGACGTCCCCCAGAAGCCACTTTGAAACTGAATCCTGAGATGCCTGTGGGAGTTGTTCAGGTAAAGAGTGAGGAGAGGTCTTCCAGATGCGTGGACAATTGCAGGACAAGCCTCTGAACAGGTAGGGCGCGTGTGCCCTGGGGAGGCAGAGAACAGTGCAGGGGGCTGTAGCATGGTACTAAGGGGTGGCAAGAGGAAGCCAGAGAAAGGCCAGGCCCTGGTAAGGCCCAGCTGAGGCCCTGGCAAGCCCCAACTGAGGCCCTGGTGAAGCTTGGTGAGGCCCAGCTGAAGCCCTGGTGAGGCCCTGGTGAGACCTAGTGAGGCCCTGGTGAGACCTGCTGAGGCCCTGGAGAGACCTGGTGAGGCCCTGGTGAGGCCTTGGAGAGACCTGGTGAGGCCCTGGTGAAGCCCTGGTGAGACTTGGTGAGGCCCTGGTGAGGCCCTGGTGAGGGCCTGGAGAGACCTGGTGAGACCCTGGAGAGACCTGGTGAGGCCTTGGTGAAGCCCTGATGAGACCTGGTGAGGCCCTGGTACAGCCATGGTGAGGCCTGGTGAGGCCCTGGGGAGGCTGTGGTGAGGCCCTGGTGAGGTTCTAGTGAGGCCTTGATACAGCCCTGGTGAGGCCTAGTGAGGGCCTCAGGAGGTTCTAGTGAGGTTTTCATGAAGGCTTGGCAATGCCCTGGTATGTCTGGCTGCCTGTGTCAGGGGCCATGTTCAGGGCCTCAGTGTCCCCAGGCCCAGCCCAGGTTCCTCACAGAGCAGGCATCTAATAGAAGTGACCAGCCTCTAACAGAAGTGGTGATGTTTTAGTCCCAGTGCTGTGGGCTTTCACACCCCTTCCTCTGGGGCTGGAGTGGTGGTTGGGAGGTCCAGGCCTTGCCCAGGCTCCTACTGGCCATGTCCCGCTTGCTGGCTTGGGCCTGCCTGCCTAATAGCGGAGGACCCCTGGCAGGTAACACAGGCCCTTTTTCTTTAATTACTACCTGACATTTTAATGTTCACATTTTATTACATTCTTCACCACTCGGTGCAAAAAAAACCAAAAACACTTGAAACCTTGGAGACCTATAAACCAAGTAAGAGAGCTTTGTAAAGCCCTTTGAAGTCCCTGCTGAAGCCCAAAATGTGTTTTCTCTTTGAATGTGCTGATTGTGTGATGGGGCTTTTGAAATGAGGAAAGGCTATG